TGTTCTCTAATACAGTGCAGGCGAAATGGAACAGGGGGGTACTGATGAAGTCCAGGATAGCCATAAACCACTGCATACATGGCTCAATGCCATACTTCTGCGATGCACTAGTTTCGTGTCTGACCGTTAGGTGCTTCTGCGCTTCAACCGCCTTAGACAGATGGTTAAAACTATCCACAAGCACCGATGCTCCATTAGAGACCTTCTTCGACTTTCCACTAGTACTACCTCCATTTTTCCTCTTTGTCCCGGGGTCTGCTTCTTCAAGGTGGATGGTAGGGGAGTTTGGAGGTGAGTTAACGACCGGTCTGTATGGCTCGGTAAATGGTGCCAACCTAGGAGAGTCCACTGAGTCGGATTCACCTTCGCCAACATCCACAGCCTTCTCTCCCAGCGTCCAATGGTGTTTGCCAGTCGCAGTTGCACCGGTGAATACTTCGCGTATCAAATCTTCATGCTCCAATGGTTTTGTCTTGAATTTGTAAGCGATCTTGTTTGTCTACAAGTGAAAATCAAAGTACAATTTAATTTTTTCGTCACAGTGACATGGAGCATTCAACGAACAAGTGACTTTCGCTTACATGTGTGTACAAAATTAAAAGGGCTAGTTTGACATAAGTTAAATGTAGTTTCTTTTTTATGTTGTACAGTGTTCAAATTTGTAGTTATTTTGGATTGAAAGGGTTTGGAGTTAACGTAACGTACATATGTGCAAAGTTTATGACAAATAATGAATAATAACAAGTACAAGTTGCCATTAAATCACTTAAAGGACTTATTACGTAAAATAAAAATATATGTTCATGCATACCGATTAAAGATTGTCTCACCACTCTTCCAACGCTGTGAACAACCCGGTTTCCCTGTCAAACCCAATGCCAGTCACACCTTTACTGCTATCCATCAACTTGTTCCAAGCCTACCATTCCTTTTTCAAACTGATGTACTTGTTCTTAAGCTGTGTAATGTCATGACGTCTACCCGTGCGCTTAGCGAATTTCAATGCAATTTCATTATACCTTGTTTTGGTTATGGTTGTACCTACCCGACGGCCCGCTAATATTGCGTCCCTAACACACTGTAGGAAGATTTTTGTTGCTGCACTGTCCCAGTTCACCTTATGTGCATGATCTAAGCCATCAACAATGCCTTCGGTACCTGATGGGCCAACCCATTTATTCTTAGACAGGGTGCGAGGGGACGACCATGTTGCAACCATTACACTAATGTGAGAGGACGTATTGTATACATTAGAACGCAGTTGATGAATACATTTCAGACAATAAACTATGAACAATATGTAAAAGACAACTTTCACATTTTTATAAAAAGTAGTACGATAATTACTAACAACATGTAGCGTTTACATACAAACGATGACAATGCATTTACTTGTTCAAAATAGTACTTCTTCAAAACAATACTTATGTACATTTAGGTAATGCTTTACGGGGTTTACATTCACAATAATATGATGATGACCATGATGCACAACACACAAATCACCGTTTTCATTACACGCAAAGTATTGAAAATGTTCATGACATTGGTTGACCCAGAGTCATGGTCGGGGATCCGTCTCCCTGATTCGTTACACCAACCAATCCAATTAACACATTGCTGATGAGTAAAAAACGTAAAACATTTATTAGTTATGGGAACTACAGTGTGCATATAACTGCAGTGACAAATAATCATTTGTTACAACTCACCACGGGCCGGGGGCAAACATAATATGCACGACCAAGATTTTTGTGAGATTTAGATACCTTCACAAAACAATGGTCATAGCCACAAGCACACATGCGCTATGGCCATGTCGACGTGGCAATGGAAAAAGAGGAAGCCATATTACTACACACAGAGCAAGCACATAACTACAACAGCACCACAGATTGGAATTATAATTGCAATACACGTATTTCCCTCTTTGAAATGTAACAGTTAATTTATAACAGCATAACAGATTGAAGGAATAGCAATCTACATTTATAACATCCCATTTTTGTTAACAGCATAACAGATTGAGTAAATTATTAATTAAGCTAACTCGAAAAGCTTTGGGCAATTCAAATGCACTGTATAGTTCACACTTGTCCATGGGAATTACACTTTTTTTTTGTGTCGATTAGTTTCAAACATTTGTGTGCACTGGAAAAAACCCAAATGAATGTTGAATTTTTTTTTTTTAAAATCAATTAATTACTAATTCATCAAATCTATGTAAACTGGAGAAGGATACCAATGAGGCTCATATACCGGTGAAGGTCTCAAAGTGAAGATAGTAGTACCAAAATATTCCAATACATAACAACATTTCAACACATCACAGAATTCCAATACAAATTCATAACGTAGCATAACAGATAAATTCCAATACACTAATTGTTACGACGCAATTATAAAATCTTGGAGAAATTGGAAAACATTCCGGAGGAAAAAAAAAACAAAAAAAAACACAAAAAGAATTAGAAAATGAATAAGGAGGGAAAAAGCAGTATGGCACATTTAGCATATACCAAGAATCAATTTTGCAAGCAAATCCTAATAATCACATTGTAATTATAAGTCAGATTAGAAAATAAAAAAATAAATGAGGAGTATAAATCCAGAAACAATAGACAAAATGCCCCAAACATATAAATCTAGAAACATGAACTCTAAATCTATGACTGCCTTAAAATTTAAAAAATCAAAAGAAACCCAAACAACACTAAAAAAAAAAAATTAAAATATTATGGACGATCAACAGAAACTCATTTGCTCAATCTTCAATTCCAGAACAAATTTCCCAACTCTCTGCAGCATTTTCACATCCGTCGATCAATTAGGCCCCACAAAGAACTGCTTAAATGAAAGTAGATTTATTTATTTTTTCTCAAATTAATAATTCATCAAATGTAAATTAGAAATTTTATTAAATTTTGATGAAAGCCAAATTTTATATATGAGAATAATTTTGAAAAAGAAAAACAAAAAATAATTTTGAAAAATAATTTTGGCCAAGTTTTTTAATTTACACAGAAAATCAAATTAGGAAAAAAAAATTAGATAAAGACTGAAAGATGGTCTGTGCCAATTAATGTTTTTTGTTTTAGTTGTTATTTAGATGGCAGAAAGGGGGGAAAAATGGTGAAGAAAATCTCAAGAAAATCCAAAATGAAGGAAGACGAAAAAGAGGGAAAATGGTTTGCTGAGCAATGTATTTTTTGTTGCACAGGACCAGGTAAAGACAAGTAGGAAGATCGATGACTGAACGACCAATGAAGAAAAAAAAATTATAGGGGAGTACATCATCATCGGTGTAGATCGGTGAAGAAAAATTTCAGAAAATAGTGTTTCGCAACCGTACCTTTGTATGTCCTCGACGATCGGCTACATGGTTTGCCGTAACAATGCCGCCGGAGAGAGGTAGCGACTCTCCTATTAAATCGTCCAAGTAGAGCTTTGGTGAGAGATATGAGAGATGAATTTCATGTTTTGAAACAGGTAGAGCAACGGTGGGTAAATACGTCATTTTACCCACAAAATGTCATACAGCTGGACTGCGCTTCTTCACTCAGCTACAGTGCAAGGTTTTGAAATTTTTCTCGTTGGTGAATAAAATAGGCACCAACCCACGTTCCCAAACACCACCATTAATAGAAGATAGGAGAAATTAATGGTATTTTAGTCTTCTTAACTCAAATAGAATTTAATTGAATAGTCAAAAACAATATGAATTAGATGAAATAAAACTCTTAAAAAGAAAATTTATCAAAAAAGCTTTCTTAAATATATGTGATGAATTAAAAAATATAAAATTTTCATTCCACACAAGTTTGTTGATAGTTATCTATTAAAAATAAAATAAAAATCAACTCAATTCTTTATTTTTTTACAACTTTTTTTTAGTAAAAAATTCATTAAAATAATTAATTCATTAAGTGTGCTAACAATACGTGGAAACAAAAATACTAAAATCCCAAATGTTTAACAAAATGTTGAACAAAAATTTTATTAATTATTTCGTATAAATCCCACACTAATATTTAATAAATTTTTTGATAATATACATTTTGTATTCTTAGAATTTGTGAGAAATAGAAGCTGTTCATCCTTATCCTTTTTTCCTAAGAACATCACATCTTATTTGTCGTAACAATAAAACCGAAGCCTATGCTTTCATTTCAATATAGGCTCGTTTTCGGTCTGGTTTCGGAGTGAATTGTATTATCAGATTGTTTTAGGTTTGTTACGGAACCGATATAAATAATCTGAATGATTTAATAAGTTAAATTTGTCGAGTAATTTATTTTTATAAAAAATTATGTTAATTAAATATTAATGATTATTTGATTAAATAGTATTTCTATTAGTAATTTTTTTTTAAAATCATACAGAACATTGACAGAAATATAATATGATCAAGTGATTATCGATATCTAATCAATGTAATTTTTTCATAAAAGTAAAATATTCAATGAGACTTATATATTGAACGATTCAAATTATTAATACGAACATCATAATGCACTCACGAGACCCAATGATACAGTCCAATCTGATTAGAGACTAGACACAAACCACATTCTTCACTATAGATAATTATTTAATATTCTCGGAATATGAAAACGTGATATTTCATAAAATTTTAATTGATAAATAAAAATAAGAGCCCATGATTTATATTAAGAATGAGAGACCGCATGAAAATTAAGACATCGTTTGAGAAGAGCTAAATCAAGTTTTTTTGGCTATTTTAATCACAAAAGACAAAATAAACTATTTTAGTTACAAAAAATAAAACATTACATTCAACCCATAATCATTACACTATTCTCTCAAAAAAAAAAAAAAAAACTAAAAAAATTCTTTTCAAATTAAACTTTTTAACCCAAATTAAAATAATTAAAAAAATTAAAAAATCAAAAAATCACACCTAAATAATTAATAATTAATTTGAAATATGAACGCTTCAGAATTGTTAAATAATTTCTCCTAAGGATATACATACCCAACCAAAACTTGGAAAGAGTCTCTCTACGTCACGTCTCTCTCTCTCTCCCTGCGACACCATTAAAGCACCTTCACCCTCATCACTTTTCTCTCTCAAATCCTCGATCCAACCCAATTCCATCAACCATGCCTTCTTCTTCACTTTCACCATCCTCATCTCAGACCCCCCAATACCTCCAAGAGCTTCTCGAATCAGCTCGCCCCTTCCTCCGCGGCGAGCTCGAATCCATCGACACCAACCTCCCCTCCCTCCTCGCCGTCCTCCGCTCCGTCGGTGCCGGCGAGTGCTGGCACAAGCACGGCAGCTTCCTCGACCACCTCCTCGATATCTACCGCATTCTCAAGCTCTGGAAAGCCCCCGACTCTGTCTCCCTCTGCGGCCTCTTCCACTCCGCCTACTCCAACTCCTACGTCAACCTCGCCATCTTCGATCCCTCCACCGGCCGCGACACCGTCCGCCACCACGTCGGCGCCGCCGCCGAACGCCTCATCCACCTCTTCTGCATCGTCCCTCGCCAGCCTCTGATCCACGACGACATCCTCTTCAAATACACCGATTCGGAACTCGTCGAACACCTCAAACTCTCCGAGTTTTCTCTCAAAAACGCGAAAGAGAAAGGGGTTTTCAACGAAGACGAGGCTTGGAGGAAGAAATTGCAGTCGATCGTTCCCGAAAATGGGGTCACCGTGAAGCACATCAAGACCGGCGAGGACGTCGTCGTTTCGAGGCGTGTCGTCGCGGTCTTTGTCATGATGACAATGGCGGATTTCAGTGACCAGCTCTTCGGTTTCCAGGACGCCTTGTTTGAGAATCACAACGGCCTTCTCGAGTTCTCAGGCAACAATTTCACAGCTCTGTGGCCCGGAGACGGCAAACCCGGGTTGTGGATGAACTCAATTTCAAGAATGGGTGCAATATACAGTCTGTTAGTGAGAGAAGAAGAGATTTTCATGGAAAGGAGGAAGAGGGATGGACTTGTCATTGGTGTGGATAGAGATGAAGAGATTGAGCTTGTGATACCACCAGTTTTTGAAAACTGTACTAGGGTTTTGGGTGCAGGAGAGCAGATAGTTGGGAGGGACATGTATTGGGAAGGTGTTGTTTGTGATGTGTCTAAAAAAGGAATGATGGAGAGAGCTGAGGAGATGTTGGTCAAGTGTGTTGAGAACAACCCTTTTGTTGGAGAGCCACATGTGGTGTTGGGTCAGATTTATCTGAGTAAAGGGAGGTTTGAGGAGGCTGAGAGGGAGGCTGAGAAAGGGCTTACACTCATTTTGGAGTGGGGGAGTCCTTGGGATAAGAGGATGTCTTGGGAAGGTTGGATTGCTTGGGCTAGAGTTTTGGTGATGAAAGCTAAGGAGAGGTCTTGGCCTCAGACTTCTTGGGGCATTCTCAACTTAGGGCTTGTTAGGTAAAATTCCCTACTTTTAAAATAATTTAAGAATTAAGTTTTGGCCTAGCATCATATATATATTCAGTTGTTTAATCATGTATTTCATTTCTGCAGTTGTGGGGAAGTTCTTAATTTAAGGGTCTTTGTGTACTCTGTTCTAGTTGTAACAAAACCATGAGTACAAATTAATGCACAGAATAAACTATATGTCAATTTATGTTCTTTGCCTCTTTATTTTTATTTATTTTTTTACTACTTAGGCATATCTGAAATTCCGAAGATTACATCCTCTTTTCTTGCTATGAGTGTGTTTAGAAGTGTAAATAGACGTTCGCCTATTATTTTTTGGGAAAATTACTTTTCAGTGATATTTATATAAAATTATTACATATTAATGAATTTTTTAAATTATTAATATTTATAAAATTTACCATTTTTTTATAATTATCTTTCTAAACATGTACTGAACAGTAATTTCCCTTTATTAGTTTTTCCTTTATGAAACATGAAGTACAATGTAGGAGATAAAAATAGGGTGCGCTTGATGCTCAATTTCACAGCTCTGTGGCCCGGAGACGGCAAACCCGGGTTGTGGATGAACTCAATTTCAAGAATGGGTGCAATATACAGTCTGTTAGTGAGAGACGAAGAGATTTTCATGGAAAGGAGGAAGAGGGATGGACTTGTCATTGGTGTGGATAGAGATGAAGAGATTGAGCTTGTGATACCACCAGTTTTTGAAAACTGTACTAGGGTTTTGGGTGCAGGAGAGCAGATAGTTGGGAGGGACATGTATTGGGAAGGTGTTGTTTGTGATGTGTCTAAAAAAGGAATGATGGAGAGAGCTGAGGAGATGTTGGTCAAGTGTGTTGAGAACAACCCTTTTGTTGGAGAGCCACATGTGGTGTTGGGTCAGATTTATCTGAGTAAAGGGAGGTTTGAGGAGGCTGAGAGGGAGGCTGAGAAAGGGCTTACACTCATTTTGGAGTGGGGGAGTCCTTGGGATAAGAGGATGTCTTGGGAAGGTTGGATTGCTTGGGCTAGAGTTTTGGTGATGAAAGCTAAGGAGAGGTCTTGGCCTCAGACTTCTTGGGGCATTCTCAACTTAGGGCTTGTTAGGTAAAATTCCCTACTTTTAAAATAATTTAAGAATTAAGTTTTGGCCTAGCATCATATATATATATTTAGTTGTTTAATCATGTATTTCATTTCTGCAGTTGTGGGGAAGTTCTTAATTTAAGGGTCTTTGTGTACTCTGTTCTAGTAGTAACAAAACCATGAGTACAAATTAATGTACAGAATAAACTATATGTCAATTTATGTTCTTTGCCTCTTTATTTTTATTTATTTTTTTACTACTTAGTCATATCTGAATTTCCAAAGATTACATCCTCTTTTCTTTCTATGAGTGTGTTTAATAGACGTTCGCCTATTATTTTTTGGAAAAATTACTTTTCAGTGATATTTATATAAAATTATTACATATTAATGAATTTTTTAAATTATTAATATTTATAAAATTTACCATTTTTTTATAATTATTTTTCTAAACATGTACTGAACAGTAATTTCCCTTTATTAGTTTTTCCCTTATGCAACAAGAAGTACAATGTAGGGGATAAAAATAGGGTGCGCTTGATATTGGAATTGTGGGCTTTTGGATTGGACTATTTCAAAATATTCTCAAGATGTCTGTCTGATATTTGTTTTAGCCCTGGTCCTTTAAATAATATAGCCCAACAAATTCTGTAGCCCATACATGGAAAAAATTATTTCGGAGATATCACGTGATTATATTTCTGGCCAATCACAAATCATTATACTTTGTTTTCAAATCACTATTACGAAATTATGAATCTTATCTTTTCTATAAATCATAATATACCTAGGGCATTACGTGACTGCTTGGACAGTCAAATAACTTCTCCCATACAACCTTGAGAGTCTTAATGGTTGGTGAATATGCTCCCCACACAATTGTGTTTAGAGTTCAACTCTTGGAGTCAAGTCACAAGAAAGAAATTTTTTGTAAATTTCCTAGTCTTAGCGTGGATGACTTGCTTTCAACCGGACTGAGGAAGGAATTAGACGAGTTGCGTGTAAGTTGATCCAGACACATCTTACCATAAGATAAGATAAAAAAAATAAAATAAAATGAAATATAAAAAAAAATTAAAAAAAAAACTTCTCCCATACATGGGATTAATGTATGAAAAACTCCATTCAGATAGAAAAACAATATTGAACGGGTCTTGAGATAAGGAATGACATTTTAGGAAAAGGGCAAATTAAACTCTACACCCCCTCAACAATCACCATTTTTCATTTTACCTCTCAAAATAAAAATTGATATAATATACCCTTTTATCTTTTGAAATTTTTTAATTTAATCCTTATGTCTCCATTTTATTAACAAAACTGATAGAAAATGTGCATGTAATATGCACATGCTATATTTATGATGAAAATACCTTTAAGAAAGTTGTTATAAATATGACATGTGCATATTACATATATTTTTCAGTCAATTTTGTTAATAAAATAGAGACATAAAGGTTAGATTGAATATTTTCAAAAAATGAAGGGGTACATTGTATCAATTTTTAATTTGAGTGGGTAAAGTGAAAAATGGTGATAGTTGAGGGTGGTAAAATATAATTTGCCCTTAGGAAAATGCATTCAACCCTTACAAACCCTGTACAATCGGTTATTTTGTTGGACTTTTTGTGTATACTATATATAAAATATAAGGAAATTCTACAATATATATCATACGTACTCTTTTTGACTTCCATAGTTTTTATTATGATTTATTGGGGTGTTAGTCATAACTTATTTATACACATTATGTTGTTAATTATGATCTAGGGTGGGTTTGGCAACATCAAATAATAACTAAAAAGTCACTAAAAAGGCCAAAATAATAAAAAAAAAACTTCTCCCATACATGGGATTAATGTATGAAAAACTCCATTCAGATAGAAAAACAATATTGAACGGGTCTTGAGATAAGGAATGACATTTTAGGAAAAGGGCAAATTAAACTCTACACCCCCTCAACAATCACCATTTTTCATTTTGCCTCTCAAAATAAAAATTGATATAATATACCCTTTTATCTTTTGAAATTTTTTAATTTAATCCTTATGTCTCCATTTTATTAACAAAACTGATAGAAAATGTGCATGTAATATGCACATGCTATATTTATGATGAAAATACCTTTAAGAAAGTTGTTATAAATATGACATGTGCATATTACATATATTTTTCAGTCAATTTTGTTAATAAAATAGAGACATAAAGGTTAGATTGAATATTTTCAAAAAATGAAGGGGTACATTGTATCAATTTTTAATTTGAGTGAGTAAAGTAAAAAATGGTGATAGTTGAGGGTGGTAAAATATAATTTGCCCTTAGAAAAATACATTCACAAACCCTGTACATTAGATATATCGAATTCAAATCGGTTATTTTGTTGGACTTTTTGCGTATACTATATATAAAATACAAGGAAATTGTACAATATATATCATACATACTCTTTTTGACTTCCATAGCTTTGATTATGATTTATTGAGGTGTTAGTCATAACTTATTTATACACATTATGTTGTTAATTATGATCTAGGGTAGGTTTGGCAACATCAAATAATAGCTAAAAAGTCACTAAAAAGGCCAAAAACTCAAGAACTATACCAATAGCCAAGACTTTGTTTTCTTTATACTTTTGCATATTTTTTGTAAAAAGTCAAAAATTCACTTCAAAATTACTATTTTTTTCGCTTCATATTTTAGAAAAAAAAAAAAAGTTAAAAAATTACTAAAATAGCATATTGTCAAGCCAATCTTATTGTGATATTGGTTATGATATTATTTTGATATTGAGCAAAAATGTCTTTAATTATAGCTCATGTAGCATTTAATTATAACTCAAAAATATAATTTTTTTTAGTAATGATTGAAAAGAATCTAATGACATTTGTGGTAAACAACACAATAAATGTCATAACTTGCATGTGGTACACATTCTATAACACTGACTTTAAAATAAATTAGGTTGATCTGATAATTATAACTTATTTAATTTAGGTCTAGTCATAACATATTTAATATCAGCTCGATCTAATTTTGTGTACGAATAATATACACAAATTTTTTTATAAAGTAAATAGTTTATATTATTAAAACGGTACCACAGGTCCAGACAACCCAACCTAATCCTTTTCTAATTCCACCTTGTAAACGTATAATAATCCGAGCTTACATTGTTTCATTATCTTTATCTAAAACATAACTAGGTATCGTTTTAAAACTACTCAGCCTTTTTTACAATATATATATATATATATATATATAAAATTTTGTAATGACTATTCTTAGATTAACAATAAATTAATGTTACAAATATTTTACACACAAAAAACATAAATAAATGAATCAATGAATCAAATCATTAAAATTAAAATTGAGGCCGGTCAACTAGAGAAATCAATTAACGTTTTGATCCTTCAAGTAGGCTTATTTTTTCCTAACAGCTTGACATGATCTTTTCAGATAATAAGATTTTTGCAATAATTCTCCTTACAATACTACTTTTAAGTAGGTAATTTAAGTACAAAACACAATTCATTATAAATTCATCTTGGACCCCTCCACCGTCTGCCGCCGAACTCCTCATCCACCTCTTCTGCATCGTCCCCCGCCAGCCTCTCATCCACAACGGCGTCCTTTTCAAGTACACCGATTCGGAGAGGTGTGTTGAGAACAAGCCTTTTGTTGGAGAGCCACATGTGGTGTTGGGTTAGATTTATATGAGTAAAGGGAGGTTTGAAGAGGGTGAGAGGGAGGTTGAGAAAAGGCTGAGACTCTTGTTGGATTGCTTGGGCTAGAGTTTTGCTGATTAAGAGCATTTTTAACGGTTCAGTATTTTTTTTTATCAAATTTGAGTAAAAAATGGCTCATTTTTTCAATTTGATATCAGTTGCTCTAACGGTGCATCAAAAAGAACCATCCCGTGGGTTAACCGGTTGGTCGACCGGTAAGGTAATTTTTTTTTTATTTTTTTACCTTTTTGAACTGTTTGAACCTATCAATTTTTGAACCATTTGCATGAGCTGGTCGACCGGTTGGTCAACCGGGTGGTCGACCAGGGGGTCGACCAGGTGGCATCCAGGTGGTCGGCCACTATGTGTAAAATTTTGATAAATTTCTGCTTTAACGGCTATGAACAGTGCATTGGTTAAAAGAGCAACATGTTCTCACTTTGATGAATTATTTGTTGAATTCTCATTTTAAAACTTGTTTGTTGAAACCATTGGAGCACCAAAAAGTGACTTTTTTACCAAAATTTAAATTTGATGTCAAGTTTGATGAAGCGTTGGAGATGGTCTAATGCCAAAGAGAGGTCTTGGCCTCAGACTTCTTGGGGCATTCTCAATTTAGGGCTTGTTAAGTAAATTGAGCCTAATTTGGTAACATAGTTAAAAGTTAAATTTTGACTTTTAACCTATTTTCGGTCATATTACCTCTGTACATTTTTATACCTTTTTTTATAAAATCAAAAAAAAAAAAAAATTAGCTTTTAACTAATTTTTCAAAACAACCTTAAGGCCACGTTTGTTTGGTAGATTAGGTTGTTTGGAATTATTAGTGAGAGAATTGTTAGTAAAAAGATTGTTAATGTTTGGATTGTTAGTGAAGGAATTAAGTAAAAGTGTGTTTGTTTTGATGATAGTGTATGAGATGATCAGTGATGGGATTGTTAAATTATTTTTATATAAAATAAATAAATAAATTACTTTTATATTAAAAAACTAAAAACAAATATTAAAACAAATAGATGCATTTGGTAAAATTCACCCAAACTAGTCCCCCTACAGAGGGAGATTACTAAGCCCCTTACACTACGAATCTTATAATATTTTGTTTCATCCAAACAAGAGTTTAGTGGGTCCCACAAATTGGCAATCCAATCCATCCTCCCAAACCCCAACCAAACATGGCCTAAGTTAATTTAAGAGCATGGAAACAAAACATTAAATTAGTGCTCTATTTGTTTTGCCATAAAACATTTTTATTGAAAATATTTTGGTCCCAAAACTTTAACAAATCACTACCACA